TTTTTTTTCATTGACATTATAACAATGACTTGAAGGATGATTTCATATCAAAGATTTCTAAAGATTTGTAAAGCTTTATAATTCTAAATAATGCAGTTTCTTATGTTATTAAGGATAAATGATCCAAATCATAATAAACATTTTGTTGAATCTATTACTGTATCAAAGAGCATATCTAATATATTATTGTATCTCGAGTTTTATTTGATAACATCAGGAAATATAAACTGACATTATTATAGCATTAAATATTTTAATGAAGAATCCTTGAAATAAACGCTCTCTACGTTGAGATTGCATTAACCTTAAATTAATACTAAATTAGCTATTGTTATACGCGATAAAATAGTATAATATTAAAACTAGTAATAAATGTATTATAATATTATTTTCACCGAATTTATTATAATAAATTTGGATATTGCGATCCTTCAAATTTTATTTGAATAATTGAGAAATATATACTTATAATCGTTGTGTATAAATAATCATTTTATAACGGACAAATGTTTTGTTGCACAAAAGACCATTGCGTAGCCCAAGGATAACGAAGAAGGATCCACTGAAGAGCGATAAACCCACCGAAAACCACAAGACTTACTAAAAAAAATGAAGTAAATCTACTGAATAACGGCGAAAAGGCCCACCAAATAACGAAAAAAAGACCGAAAGAAGAGCGGAAAGACAATAAAAGTATTACTAAATAACGAATAGATACCTTCTGAAGTTCAACAAAAAGACTAACTGAAGAACGATGAATGTCCCATTGAAAACGGCAAAAGACCACAACAAATAGACTCTGAAGACTGTATAATGAAAGGACCACCGAATGACAATGAAAAGATCCATAAAAAATAAAGAGAAATACACACCGAAGAACAAAGAAGACTCTTTAAAAGCACGAAGAAAAAAGCTACCGCAGAACGAGAGAAAAAACTCACTGGAACGAGGAAACAGCATGTTGAAATTCGGCAAGAGATCCACTGAAGAACGAGAAAAGACCCGCTAATACGACGAAGGACCCATTGAAGCCGCGAAAGACCCACTGAAGATCCACAACTAACGAAAGGAAGCGCCAAAGAACGACGAAAAGGAGTCTGAAAACAACAAAAGCAACGATGAAAATAAAGATGATAAGAGAAGTACCATAAACAACGAAAAAACTTGCTCAAAGAAACACCGGAACGAATAAAATATTTGCCGAAAAGAAACAGTGAAAGCGAAAAAAAATTTCTGAAAAGAAGCAGTAAAAGCGAAAAAGATCTAAATCATACTATTTATTTGTCACTTCCACGATCGATCACACCCCAAATTTTGACTTGATTTTGAGGAGCATGATGTACGTATCATATATACTGTACTACATATAACTGACCCTAATGTATGTGCCAATTCAATCATAACTGAGCTTTGAAGAATTTATAATCGTTTTTACCTAGCGATAATAAAAAATTTATATTAAGAATTTAGTTATTAGATTATTTATACTAATAAATTAATATTGCATTTAATCAGTGATATTTAATACCAATTTAATGTAGAGAAAATTTCCTGATGAAACAGAGCATCAGCCGTTATTTTAAACTTGCACATACTGTACCTATATAGTTCCATAAATTATGTGTAATAAATGCTATACCAATTTACAGTATCTTATTAAAATATGATAGTTAGAAAAGGTAGAGTTTCGTAGCTGAGAAAGTTATTACATTTATTCAAACTATTATAACAGACTCTATGAGTTAGAAGCATGTATCTTTTTATATTTCTTATCCAATATGAGAAAGTTTTTAAAGTTCGTTGTTTCTGTTGCGTAGCTTTTTCTTACGTGACAAATAGAGTACACTAGCTCTATTCTACTCATATTCCCTTATATTGGACCAATTACCAGCCTTAACTTGGCCTCTACTCCTAATCCGCAGTTCTACACGTTAAATACTTAGTTCTACACGTTAAATACTTAGTTCGACACATAATAAAAATTTAATATATTTATCGATTAGTATTTCATACAGCACAAATGAATGGGTCCATTTGCAAACTTTCCGTTGTTTTTTTTAATAAATTGCTTTATTTAAATTCATTTAATTTTATTGTTAAAAATTAGTAACAAAAGATTATTCAAATAGTACTTTAGTACAAAATTTATTTGATAAACTTTGACTTGTTCCTTCCAAATCAGCTTAAAAGTACTTTAACTAATTAGGTTATTATCTGAAGTGCATCAAAATACATCAATAGAAAATGTTGAATGGTTCTTGTTAATATTATAAGCTGCTCAAGTTTAAGAATTGCAAATGATTTTAAACATAATTATTATTCATATTTATAAGTTTGATTAACAGAGAATACATTTAAAGAAAAGAATGATTTTACTGTAATGAATTTTAAATCCTATTTTTAATCTTAAAAGTTTAAACAAGTTCATAGATCTTTACCATTAAATAATCACAATAAATTTATTTGTTCAAATCAATTTAGTCGATAAGCCTAAAGATTATTTATTAATCGATTTTATCATTTCATTTGCGGTGATTAAGATCCTTTATTTGACACATTTCAAGTTTATTATGCACGAAATCATTTTCATGTGCGCTATTTAGTTGCCGTGCACTTCATGAACCTACTAGGAACCACAAGAATGCAGTTCACTTATATTATAATTGGCACAAAATGCAATCACAAAAAATGCAATGCTAATGGCGAATATAAAAACAATTCTCGTAAAATGTAAGCGTTTCCAATTTAATCTTTATCATCCAAAATAGTATGAATGTGTAATTTCTTTGAGATAACATTACACTATTAAATGTTAATAAAAAAAAAATTATTTCGTTTCATCTTTAAAATTCTATTTTCACTGATAACATGTTAAATAAATTACTTCAGATAAAAGAAATGCCTACGAATTCTGAATAATAATTGTAAATCTATCGATAATAAAGATTTGTTAAGGTCAGATAATAGAGGTTTCTCCTACTTCAAACCATAAGTTTGCATATAATAACTTACATTATGCAAATAACAATTCTGGATTAACATAGAAAATGAGCGCAGAATACATATCCAAGAAGAACAAACGATTATTATCTTTACATTGTAAATTTCCTTTTGAGATGGTCCAAGTCTAAGTTTACAAATCTAAGATCTGTAGTGAACAGATATTTACAGTATTTGATTTTTTTTTCAATTATTCTAGATAAAAAATTTTCTATAATATTTAGACTTTGGAAGACTTCATGTTATAAGTTAAATTCAAGAAAACAAAATTATTATTTTATATAAAATATAAATTACCGGTAAATAACATAAATTACAGCCATTCATTGAGTATAATGCTTGATTCATATTTGCGTATTAAACTTTATTGTCAAAGAAAATCAAAATTCAAGATAATTTAGCAACAGATAGTAGTGCTCGTCTTAATCTAAATATTTATTTATTAAACATATAACTATTTAACATGAATAATTATTATTAACATAAACAATTAGCAATTTTTAAAACTTATAAAAATGATTAAATCATTTTCGATGAAGTTTATATGTTGGATAATTCATTTATTAATTGCTTAGAAAATATTTATTAATTTAACATCAATTGTTAATTCTCATTTACTACGATCGCATGTTTGTATTAACAAAGTTATAATTTTTTTGGCATAGATCTCTTGATTTTTGATAAAAAAAACCTATCAAATTTGATTGGTATTTGACGTTTCAACCAAAAATTATATCATTATACACTTATTAGAGTAATGAAGTATGTGTGTATCTATGTATAATTGTCTATTGTAAATTCTAAGTTCGATCCTTGAAGTGTTCCAATCATGTGTTACTACCGTCGGGATAATATACGCCGAGTTTATGCATGACATTTTATTAATTTTCTAAATCATTTTAAATATGGTTTGAGGAAAAATATGAATTGGCGATGGTCCACGTAATTGTAAAATAAATAGTGAAAAAGGATGACATGATAAGAATCAAAAACCAGAGGAGTAACTAGTTCAAACTTATATAAGTGATAGACTAGTAAAATCTTTACTTGAAAGTATTAGTAAGTGCTGGGTAGATGTTTTTTTAGTTAATAACTTTTGTTCCCTTGCAGAAAACAGTTTGAATCCAGACGAAGACATTTTAAAACCTTTAAAGCTGATTAACGTCGTTATTTTGAGTATTTGCTTAAATCTCATTGGTTAATTTTAATTCTCAACTTTAAACATTCTAACTGTTCCTTTAGAACTGACCGATATATTATTAAAGTTCTTAGTGAACCCATTGCCATACGTTTTTCATACATAGTAATAAAGCCTCTGATCAAGCAACAACAATAATACTAAAAACCAAAGTTAAACTCTTGACAACTTATCTTTCACCTATATTCGTATTGTGAGAGGCGGATTCTGGATTACTGGGTCTCTCATGGTTAAAACGTACTATTAGGCAACTCAAAAGAGACGTGGAAGATTTGGTCCGAGAACCAAGGATATTACTGCCATTAAGATCCTGGTCTTAAGGGTGGGTCTTTATTAAACAACAAACGATACCTTATCTGTCTGCTCTTTGCTAACAGAAGTTACAAAACTTTTATACAATTAATCTAAATTGAGTATTAGGAATCTACAAGTAACTATGACTAAGTTACATGACTATATGGCCTTAGTTCCCACCATTTGAATAACCAAGCCATTATTCAATTGTTCTCAATGAGCTTCGCCTCGAGCCAAATTACGTAGCGTTTACTTTCACATGTCTGGATCTTGCGGCTTAGCTTCGGTGACCTTGATTCAGTTTGTGTCATGATCACGTTTCTCACGTGCCTACAGCTAGGTCACGTTTTGCCTTTCACAGTATTTCCTGTTTGAGGCACTGCAGATTTAGGGATACCTATTAAAAAAATCGTCAACATTTCCGCAGCCTGCATTAAATGCACAAGGCTGGCATTAAGTAGTCTGGCCAACATTATGCAAGCTGGTTCGTGCGCCCATCCCTATTAATTTAAATAATTAAATTCGAGTACCTAAATAAAAAAAATCTAATTCCACAAATCCATTATAATAATGAATAGTTAAAAAGATATTTATTTGGTATTATACTGTGTTTATAAATTTTAGAAATTGCTAGCGATAGTTCTTCCTGCAAAGGTCATGGAAAACCCTTCAGAAGAATTGCTCGAAAAAGCTATTTCTGATAATCATATTAATAAATTGGAATATAAGCAGTTTATTAATGGTATAAAAATTGAAACAGAAGGTTTGGGAACTATTTATAAATATGAATGGAAAGATTGTGAATTAACCGTCGCTCTTAAACGTTTTAAAGTTGATATAAATTTGGTATTAAGTTACAGTATTAATAATTTTTAATAATGAAAATATAAATATACTACAATACAAATAACTGTAATTTTCTATAATATATCTAACAAAAGCTTAAACTTTTACGAAATGTTTGTCACCATCCGAATATTATTCCATTCTACGGCGTTACAAAGGGTACTAATCATCATTATTATTTGATTTTATTTTTCAAATCCTGCAAACAATTAAAAGTGATTAATCCTAAATATTTTCTTTATAGATCTAAATGGGCATTATAACATGGTTTTACAATTTGCCAGCGATGGGAATTTACGGCAATATTTGAGGAAAAAATTCACATCATTACAATGGACAGACAAATTACATATTTCAAAAGAAATATTGCGTGGTCTCATATTTTTACATAATAATAATATTGTTCACCAGGGCCTTGTGAGTATATTATATTCTATTAAAGTATAATTTTATTTTATAAATTGGTTAAAAGTATTTAATTTGTTATAAACTTTTTATAGCATTCAAAAAATATTTTAATTCACCAAGGTCAAATAAAGATTGCAGATTTTGGATTAACAAAACCGTTAAATGATACATCGATGACTTCATATTCACTTTCTCATGGAATGCCAGCTTATATTGAACCTCAATGTCTTATAAACCCTCAATATATACATAATAAAAAATCAGATATCTATAGTTTTGGAGTAATACTTTGGGAAATTTCAAGTGGAAAACCACCATTTCAAGATATTGAATCTACTCTTTGTATGCATATTATTCAAGGAAACAGAGAAGAACCTGTAAAAGATACACCATCACAATATGTTGAACTTTATAAACAATGTTGGGATAATGATCCAGCCCTTCGTCCGGAAACAAAATTAATTTTTGAAACCTTGAATCAAATTATTTCTAATATTGAATCAATTAAAATTGATCATTTGGCTGAGAATTGTACTGCTGGTGAATCAATTAAAATTGATCATTTGGCTGAGAATTGTACGGCTGATGAAACTTCGTCCTCAAAATTCGAATCTCGCATTTACCCATGGGGAGTCAGTGAGAACATTAAAACACCTGCGTTAACTATTAAATCAATAAGAAAACTTAGGAATAATGAACATAAAATGGTTAATTATGAACAAAATTCACCCTATGAAGTAGAAGTAGAGGAAGAAATTGTGTATGAAAATGGTGTTTCTCATTTAATTTGGTTTTTTGCCAATGCAGATTATGTTAAGAACAGACCTCCTGTTTACAATAAAAGCGCTCCTATCTTATATTATTTCCTTAGTAATTTAG